AAAAAAAAAAAAAAAAAAAAATCCCTACTCAAATACGCACGAGAAGCCAATGATTACGTAAAGATTGTAAGAGGGGTACCAATTTTATGCAGCGATCACAAGCGCAAGTAAAAAAATACTGTTCTTTAAGAGCTTTTCTCCGAGTGATGGTGCTTCCAGCTGTTTCTATATAACTAATTGTTACCTTCAGAGACAATTATACAATATTTTTGTCAATATTACCTCCTCATTAGGTGCTTTTTAAGAAAAAAAAAAAAAAATATGATCACAACTGAAAGCTTTTTGTAATCATCATGTTAAACCTTGAGGGTCATATTCAGTATTATCGCTTTTTATGATATGAAAAAAAAAAAAAATAGAGGTAACAATAATTAGTTAATTAATTACCTCTGTACCTTTTGGTATATGCTGCATGGCTCGTACGACAGCTACTCTTCCTTCGAATACAAGAACAGCATTGGGTAAACAGCTGAATGAAGTAAACATGTCAGAGAAAAAAAAAGTAAACGGACAAGGCAGATTAATTAATTGACTATGTTCGATATTACCTGTGATTTATGATGGCAATTACAGGGAAAAGTCCTGTTCCGAGGGGTCTCAGTTCACTGTCACAAATAGTATGTGCATTGCATGCTAGCTGTGTGTTGAGAGGAAGGAGAAATTAGATCATGGTTTTAACTTTAAAAAATAAAAAATAAATAAATGGGGATGCATTGATAATGTTTCAATATTCGAACCTTAGTTCTGCATAATAAATACCTTAGAAAAATTTTCAGCAATCTGTTTGATATTAATATCAGAATCAGGCCACTGGAGTATCAAGTTGACAAGGTTAGCCATCTGAGCATACAATATCAGCTGATTTTCGTCGACTTCAGATATGTCTATTCGGTTTGTTAAGAATGAAGAATCACATATGAAAATCATATATGTATGTATATAAATATATATAAACAGTAAAAGGTTTAGAGTAAACAATACAATAGATTAGGATACGAGAAACCAAGGCTTCCACAAGCTTGTAATTTTCTGTGGCAGTATTCGGTAAAATCTAGCAGCAATAAAAACATAATATTTAGGCAGATTTTAACTAGCAACATGATTTAAGCAAGAGTAGAAAGTTAAAAAATTTAAGTATAAATGTACCATTTAGGTTTAATCTAATTACAGAAAGGCCAATTTGCATAAAACAAATAAAAAAAATACAGAAAGCTCAAGTACCTTTATGATAATACAAAATACCCTTTTGAATTTATGTTAAAATTTACACCCTCAACATGTGCTAAGATAATTCAAGCAGAGGTCAGATGTGAAAGGTAAATTCATATTCATCCCTAAATTTATCTGAGCAAAGATTCAGTGGAAGTTTAGTATGACGGCTAAAAATGCAGAGGTAATGAAGTAACAATATAGGATCCTGAAAGCTAATATTAAATTTATTACAGCAAAAATCGTACATTAATGATGCAATCAAACTTCATGCTCCATATATTCCCATTAAACTCATTCATCCCATAGTTTCTTCTTTTAACAAGCGATATCATTATATTGCTTTCTACTTCACTAGAATCTGAATATATCACTTCAACTCAGAAAATATATATGAATCTTGCAAACCCACCTTCTGATTCTGTAGCTTAAACCGTATACAAAGCCTCACCATCAAACGAATAGATTGCGTGAGTGATTTCAACCTTTCCTTGTCAACTTTCTTCAATGCCGAGCATTCCACGCTATGCATCTTCCAATCCGACTTCTGAAAATTCGATCACAAAACTGCTGCTACTTACTCAAACAGACACACAAATCACAATGAAACCATATAATCACATCACAAAACTTCAAAACACCAAGTTAACCACCATTTAAATTGCAAAAACCGAAGTAATTATCAGTTTTCAGCTTCTACAACTTATGCAGCAAGTGTACTAAATTAAGTATACAACTACAATGTATAAGTAGGTCACAGAACTTAGAAAAACATCAAGATAACACTTCTTTTTTTTTTTCCATTTAAATTACAAAACTGAAGTAATCATCAGTTTTCAGAATCTACAATATGCAACTAATGATTAATCTGTTGGGGCATAAGTTTTTACCTGACATTTGCTGCTACAATACCAAACAACATGACAAGCAGAGCATTTCTTGAGGTCGGCTGATGAAAAGCACCACTCGCACTTGGGTTCAGGCGACTCTTTGTTCTTATTGGGAACACAAACATATGGGCTGTCAGTTAAAATCACCTCCCCTGCAAAAACGAACACAGCCCAGTCTCTGAATTCATTTGTTTTTTCTTAAAAAAAAAAATAAAATAAAATAAAAAAAAGATGAAATCTTGAAAAGCAACGGCGAAAAATATTCTTGAAAAACCTGGGGAAAAATGTCGGGCGGTGAAAAGGCAGCGGCCCTTTTCGGGAAGCGTCGAGATAGTTAAGCTCTTATCAGTCAATGCGTTCTGTAATTCCTCCATTTTAGAACGATATACACGAATAAGCTACTGTTTTGTCCAGCCGCAAAAAATAGAGCTGAAGAAGACACAAGTAGGGCTGCAAACCAGCCTAGCTTAGTCGAACATGGGCCTTATCGAGCAGAATTGACTTTTTTTTTTAGCTGAGCTCGAGCTCGAACTCGTCGAGCTCGATTTTTTAGGCTCGAGCTCGACGAAGTCAAAATGCTCGAGCTCGACTCGAGTTCGGCTCGAAAAATTTTAAGTAGAAAGGTAAAATTACTAATAAGAACACTAAATTACAATTTGGTCCCTACATTTGTACTATATTATTATTTTTATTCCATTCTTTAACCGAAGTTTATCTAATTATAAAAGTTTACCTTATTATAAATATTTAAAGATTCAATCTTTGGCTAAACTTTTTATAGCTCAATAACTGATTTTTTTAGCCGATTGTTGAAACTAGATTAAATGATTTGACAAGAATTGGATTAACAATTTCAAATGAGTGCAGGTTTGTATAATTGTTTTATATATATTGGATTAACAATTTCAAATGAGTGCAGGTTTGTATAATTGTTTTATATATTTCGTGTGAGATACTATTTTATCAATTATCTTAATTCAAACATTTGTTTTAATGAGCATTTTCATAATTAACAACTTGGGTAAAAAAACAAATAAGTAAGTTTTTTTTTTTTATCAAACACATTATTTAGCAGATTTATATGGTCAAACAATTAAATAAGGCTAAGCCCATCAATATAGGCATATTAATTCACTAACATCCAAATAAATAACATGTCTAATTAATAATACAAATTATTGTTCGGCTTAATAGTCAGGCGTAGGCCTCCTTGTTCCGACTAGTGAGCCAATTGTAATATGTGTTTTTATTAATGAATTATATCGTTTCGAAAAAAAATAGTTAGGCGGGTCGCTTTGTCATATTATTTTAACAAAAATGTATATTTATGTCAAAATATTATATTTTTTTATTTATATTGTTTTTTAAAGTATAGCAATAAAATGGAGGGCCTAAAGTGCAATTTTTACCCTCTTAACACGGGATAATTGCACCAAACCCCCCTGTGTTTTCATAAATGTGCGCGTTTTACCCCTA